ACACCTTTATCAAAGAGAGAGAGAAAAGATTCTCAAAATTGCACACACCTTTATCAATGAGTGAGAGAAAAGATTCTCACAATTGCACACACACCTTTATCAATGAGTGAGAGAAAAGATTCTGACAATCACACACACCTTTATCAATGAGTGAGAGAAAAGATTCTGACAATCACACACACCTTTATCAAAGAGTGAGAGAAAAGATTCCCTCAATCACACATACCTTTATCAATGAGAGAGAGAAAATAGGAAAGGAAATAAAAGTGTTACAGTCTCAATCTTCAACTATTTTCCCACGAATGTATTTCACCCAAATGACTACAAATCAACATTTCAAAGAGCAGATTTCCAAACTTGTTTTTCTTTTGTTTTTCCTACAGGCCATCACAACAGAAAAACAAGCCAATATTTTTTTCTTAAATAAATGAAGGCATATAATATTAATAAATAGTATTTGTATAGCGTATAATCCCCCCACTCGCAGCAGGCTCTATGCACTTTACACTATATTATTACCCCAGCAGACCATAGAACACTCCGAAACATTCTCAGCTTCCTGGGAAGCATACAGTGCAAGCAGCTAATTAAGCCTTCGAACACTGCTAAACTAACAAAATCTTTCACTGTCCATAGCTGGGTTCCCATTCCCACCTGGGTGAAGTGAGGAAAATTTGTGTAAAGTGCCTTTTTTCAAAGACACAACACACACACACAACACGCCCCCCCCCTCTCCCCCTATCTCTCTCACCTGCCACACACACACAACAGCCCCCTCCCCCTCTCACCTGCCACACGCACACACACACAACACCCCCCTTTCTCTCTCACCTGCCACAGTGGAAATGGTGGGGCACGGCCCGTCTGTCAGGGTCAGGCTGGTAAGTATCACAAAAATCTTGACAAACGTCACCCGCACCTGAGGACATATGAACCAGTCATGAGTCTGTGAATAACGCACGCATGCACAAACCTATAAATTTTTTCTCTACATCGATACTCTTCCTTCATCCCTCCTTTAGAAATAAATAAATCTTTCTTTTCTTTTTGTTTTAACAAAAGCATCATTAATTTTTTTAATTTTTTTTTTTATTGCAAATTCACAAACAAAACTATGACTGATACTAAATTGATCTCAAATTTATTTCAGTTTTAAAATAAAATTAGAATTAGTTTTCTCAACGCTTATAAAAACTTTTCCCATTTATTTACAGATACGTTTTATTAATCACTGAAACAAACATTCCAATTGCAAATACACCCATTGGGCAAAAAAATGTACAGCTCATTCCAACAATGTAGCAAATTTGTCACTGAACCACATCCATCATCATCATCATCATCCAGTGCCAAATCTGCGACAGACAGACATTGGCGATCATGGTTTTCCATTCATTCCTTTGCTCTGATGCTCTCAAAAAAGCTACGTTTCCCTGATCTTTCCCCGTTACCCATTTGTTTAGGTTCCCTAAGTATGTTTTACTGGGCCTACCCCTGCCTCGCTTGCCCTCAATTTTGCCAGTGAGAGCTAGATGTTCAAGACCCTTAAAACTATTCAGGTGTCCCAAAAATTGCATTTGTCGTTTCCTGATTGTTTTTGACTGTGAGCGTCCCACGTGGGCTTCATCAAGCACTACCTCATTTGATTTCCTTTCCTTCCATGATACTCTTAGCAGTCTCCTAAGAAACCACATTTCTGTTGCTTCTATTTTATTTTCACTGTCTTTAGTGATTGTCCAGCATTCACAGCCATATAGAAGGGTTGACCAAACATAGTATTTCAGGATTTTCATTTTGGTGTTCATTGAGATGTTTCTATTTTTCAGGATTGGGCTCATTTTCTTCATCCATAAATGAGAAGAAAAAAAAGTGTGTTCTCTTCCCATAAAGCAATCTGTCCATACCGAATGAATTGACTATGAACAATAGTACAAAGGTTATTGGTCACACTCCTTTCACTGTTGTGAAAATATGATAGCATAGACGTGGGGTAACAAACACACTAACAATGTCATCATTTAGAAGCGGCCCCCAGGTGATTTTTCCGCATACTTTTATTAAATGCTAGGGATGAAGATGACGAATTATTTCCAAATTTTCGGTCACTCTATGCGAGGAGTTGGGAATGAGGGTTGTGTCCTGCCCCCCAGGACAGCCTGGCGGGGATCTAGAGTAAGCACCTTACAAAACAAAACAACCACTTAACACTAAGACTAATATGCACATTTCCATCATCACAGCATCATCATCGTCACCATAAATAATCATCATCATGATCACCCTCACCGACTAAACAATTACCCTTTTTCTTGTTTCGGTTTTTTTTTCTTCTAGAAAACTTGACAATTTGCACAACGTCAATACATTTTTACGTAACCTACAAATATGGGCATCAAAATCAGGACACGGGACCCGAAAAAACAAACAAACAAACAAACAAACACTGCCTACCTCTGATGACGGGCACTCCAATAAATACTCCGTCAGAATGTTCGGGTTTTTGAAAATGACGTGGAAAGCGAACCAGGAACGGACGTTTTTGCTGGTGCGCAGGTGGATGTGGAGGGCCTCCGACCACTCCCCTGCTGGGCCCCTGGAGGACAGAAAGTAGAGTTTAGTTTTAGTAAAAGTTTTACGGCACTTGCAACACAATAAGGTCATACAAGTGCTGAAGATTAGAGGTGTTACAAGAGAGTAATAAACACACAATAGAAGGAGGGGAGATAAAGACGATAGATGTTTGATAGGAAAGAAGCAAACCACACCAGAGCACCCACTAACCACCCACTGGAGGAGAGAAAAATCGGTAAAAGTGAACCACTCAGTGCAGCGGTAACAACTTTCTGTCTTCTCCTTTTCTCTGTTTCCAGCATCCCTCCACCCTGGTCACCAGGATTACCCACCCCACCGCGGCATCACAGGGAGTACACATGGAAAGGACACCACGGCATACAAAGCAAAAACTTTCTTTTGAACCTATTTTGTCAAAAAAATAATACAAAAAAATCAAAACTGTAAAACGTTGCCACAAATTGTCTTTTATTTTGGACAAGGAATTTATCTGGACACCCCCGATGATTACTTCAGTTGATAAGGGAATGACAAGGATGATACACAGGGATGCCACTCAACTTTTTTGAAAATAGATAAAAATCCACACGCCACGCTTTCGCTAACATATGAATATCAATTTGAAACCCAAAGGGTGAACATAGAGAGAAATGACAAACAAACATAAGCAATGGGTGTACATAGAGAGTCTTCTTTTTTCTGTTATTTGAACATTTGGCGCAAGTTGTTGTGAACTTGGGTGTGAGGGGTTTTTTTTTCTTCCCAACTATAGATTCTATCTCGATCTCAATAACGGAACAGCGGATCGGGATCAAAATACTGGAAATACCGGAAAAAGCGGAAAAGTGGCATCCCTGGATACAACACAACAACAAGGTCAATAAACAGAATCGTACACTAATGGAGATAACTTCAAATTTCCTCAATCTAAAGGCTCGTAAACCCAATGACAGTAACAAAAATTCTGATAAAACTATAAAAAAAACAAGTGAGCACAGAGTAAAGCCAAACGTACCTGAGAGATTTCTTCGTCTTGAACCCGACATTGAACAGGAACTTGGAGGCGAGCTCTGTGCTTATCAGAGAAATTTTCTCCACTTCGGCATTCTGGGCAGAGAAAAAAGACAGTAAATATTGGGGAACTTCTAAATGAGGACAGCCAGCCATATCACTAACGCAGCAGCAGTTACTTACAGCACTATCTACTGACACAGGTCGCTTTACAGAGGGAGAAAACTAGGACAAAAATCATTTGTTTTAGTTTTTAGTAGAGGATTTTCAGCGCTTTTAGTTTTAGTTCAGGTTTTACGACGCTCGCAACTAACTGCATAAGGTCATACGAGCCTCAAGGGGTGGGTGTCAACAGAGAAGTCCTTTCAGGGAATCAGACTTACTCTGCTCACCTCTCTAACCTCAACAGCACAAGGTCTGCTTCAACTATCAAGGGACCCCGAAAGTAGTGGGTCACAAGAGTGTGACAAACATACAAAAGAAGTAAAGGAAAAAATGACAATAGTAAAAATTAGGAAAGAAAAAAGCAGCAGTTCCTGTTGCAGTTCAGGAAGTTATTAGCATGACATTGATGAGTCAGCCCATTTATAATTCTACTGTGCATAAGACACTTCAGTCAGTAGTACCGCCCCAGGGGGTTAAAATAATATACAGCTGTCTATGCAAAAATTGTTTACTTTTCAGACTCCATGGAAACAGGTGTGAGGGGACTATGCATAAATCATTTTGTTTAATACTTTCTGAATCAAGAATCAAAATTACTGCTAAACATGGTGCAATATCCAGATAATTCTAAAACCCTGGATATACATGGAAAATCAGTACCTCTGAACAAAAATTGTCTTATTTTTCTTCAACTTATTCCACAGTAAGTCTTAAAAACACCTCAACTATCACACATGTACGAAGGAGTTCGAACTCAAAGACATATCTGCAGTCAGAGAGTCTCACGACTTCGAGCGGTACACTGTCCCTACTGAGTCACCAGATCCCACACACTGGAGGCACGTGTGGGACGAGGGAGACACTAAGGAGACACACATATCATACAGAGACACTCCCAACTGAGCGTGGGAAACTACACACACATTAATGGAATAGATTACAAAACAGAAGCTAAACAAATGAGAAACAATGAAATAATGAGGAATTTTACCACTAGAAAAGTCATGCTCACCAAAGAAAACAACACAAGCATAACATTTGTAACAGTAAAAAAAAACTTTACATTTCGGCATGAGAGATCTGGTAGTGATAATGTGATCCACTAATGACAATAATGTCCATTTCCACTTCCGTCAATTTCCCCAAAACAAGACAAGTTATAAGTTCTTGTGGTCTTCCACGTTGTATCTACACTGTGTGAGGCTGGAACCCTCTTTTCCGTTTTGCAAAAATTCTTCTTGAAAACTCGAACAACTTAGCCCTTTTCGGTTGAACAAACAAAATGTTGATTTTCTTCCAGAAGGTAAAAGTAGACACAATCATTTCCGCCTTTTCCGGATACGTCAACATGGTTATAGAGTTTTTTGATTAAGCAAATTAAGCACTCATTTTTTTCATTGCGAAGAACACTTTGGTCATCCTTTAGCTTCCATTGTCAGTCTGTAACGTGTAATTTCCCTACAAAATGTCACAATTTCTATTCCAAAAACCCTTGATCGACACACAGGACTCTTACCGTTCCCAGTCATAGTCAAAGCGTTTCAGCTGAATGGCTAGAATTTTGGGTAGCTTTCTTATCACAAGTCGCTTCACAGTATCAACCTGGGGGAAAGAGAGAGAAAAATCACATGAAAGATAAATGACCTTTATCTAAAAAGAGAGAGAGAGAGAGAGAGAGAGAGAGAGAGAGAGAGAGAGAGCGGGGAAGTCTTAAAAATGACAAAACAGGAGACCTCCAAAGAATCAGTTACGTTTAGTTTTAGTAGAGGTTTTACGGCACTCGCAACTGCATAAGGTCATATGAGCGCCAGAAGATTATAGGTGTTACAAGAGAGTAACAGACATAAAAAAGAAGAAAGGGGGATAA